CACTTGGGGAAAAGAACTGGCAATAGAATTCGCCGCCACAAAGTATTGCGATGGCCACTAGCTCAGATGCATTATAATCTGAAATATTAAGCCCTTTTAGGAGGGCTTTTGCCCCTAACAATACTTAAAATGCATTAATAAAAAGAAGGCTTTAAAAGAGGATCAGGCAAATTCACGGAGGAGGGAAAGTTTATCCATTTGCCACGAGTCAGGATGGCAAATAGCAAAAACTGCATCTCTGGAATAACTGAACTGCTGAATACCTGTTCCCGCAGGGTGGGGAGAGGGCTGTTGAGCTCAGTTCTTGCTCTGAGAAGAGAGTTTTGGACTAGATGGGACTGTGGGCTGATCAAGCAAGGCTATTTTTATTGTTCTTCCTCAAGCTAGCCAGGAGGCTTTTTCGAAAACCCATTTAAACATCGCTTACGACAGTGTCCTCATAAAAAATCTGGACTAGAAATTCCATGCGACACCATAAAGGCTTCTGAAAATCTTAGCTGTAGTGGGGACAGAATGGGAAATGAAGTCCCTTGGAATGACCACAAGAAAAACGGTCCTTGTTTGGCAGCAAATAGGCACATTCAAAGAGTGCAGCGGGAAAGCCAGTCCAATATTTTTTTGTCTCTGCTTGGAATGTCATAGTAGGCTGATAACTTCCCGTCTTGCTTTTTCCTCCAACAGCTTCTTACCAACTTGGTAGGATTCACACACAATGCTGTCCTAAGGAAGTGTGTTGTTGCATACCCCCCAACGTTTCTCTGATGAAAATAGGAACACCCTTTTCAATAATAATAATAATAATAATAATTTCATTATTTATACCCTGCCCATCTGACTGAGTTGCTGCAACCACTCTGGGCGGCTTCTGACATATATAAACATAAAGGTAAAGGTAAAGGGACCCCTGACCATTAGGTCCAGTCATGGCCAACTCTGGGGTTGCAGCGCTCATCTCGCTTTATTGGCCGAGGGAGCTGGCATACAGCTTCCGGGTCATGTGGCCAGCATGACTAAGCCACTTCTGGCGAACCAGAGCAGCGCACGGAAACGCCGTTTACCTTTCCACCGGGGCGTTACCTATTTATCTACTTGCACTTTGGCATGCTTTCGAACTGCTAGGTTGGCAGGAGCAAGGACCTAGCAACGGGAGCTCACCCTGTCGCGGGGATTCAAACCGCTGACCTTTTGATCGGCAAGTCCTAGGCTCTGTGGTTTAACCCACAGCGCCACCCGCGTCCCTATATAAACATAATAAAATATATATTATATATTAATAAATTAATATAATAATAAATTATATAATAAATTATATAATTATATAATAGTAATAAATTATATAATTATATAATAGTAATGAATTATATAATAAATTAATATAATAAAATATATATTTTATATAAACATAATAAAACATTTAACATTTAGAAAAACCCTCCCTGTACAGGACTGCCTTCAATGTCTTCTAAAAGTTGTATGGTTACTTTTCTCTTCGGCTGGGGGGTCACATAACTCCATTCCCTCCAACCTTTCTCTGGCGAAAATAGGGACCTTTTAAGGAAAAGTAAGGCATTCCTGGATCAAATCAGAAACCGGGACAGCTTCTGCAAATCCAGGACTGTTCCTGGAAAACAAGGACACTTGGCAAGTCTGTTGTTGTTGTTGTTATTGTTGTTGTTGTTGTTGTTGTTGTTGTTGTTGTTCCCCCTCCCTAGCCTTTCCCCATCAAAAAACAGCTCACACAAGCAGAGGCACCTCCACCAGGAATTCTTAAACCCTCCGAAATCCTCCGCTGCTGCTGACCTCAGCAGAGCTTCTCAAGGAGAGTCTGGGGGAGAAGGAAAAAAACCCTCTAAAATTTGAGTTTGGGGGAGGGAGGGCTCACTCTCTATTGGACATCCACCTGCCAACAAGATGAATGCCTAGAGTGAAAAATATCAGCCGTGGGAATGAAATCAATTGTTGGCTGCAAGGGCCGGTCTGGACATGAATCCCAAACTCCTGCAATTGGGCTCCACCAGGCCAAACACAAATCAAGTTGTTTTCCCCAGGAACAGTGTTACAAATTAAAATTCCAAATCCACCTCTATTTCCTAAGCTGTCATGCCCCTTTATATCGCCTTTTTAAAAAAACAAAAACAACGCACGTGGGCCCATGCACAAAAACCCTATTAAGCCAGTTTAAGACAAAAGCACAGTTGTCGGGAGGAAGATTTGTAATCAGTTCACATTTATTAAGTGCTAGACCTCCTGGTGGTTCTCCCCCCCCCTCCTTTCCTATCCTTTCTCTCCCTCCCCCCCCCCTTGCATTTTCATAAAATAGACTGAGACCCAGGGACTCTCCGAGGCCACCTTTTCTAATTAAAATAATTACAACCTCCTAGCATCACTTTGGGGCATATTTATTCACTTTAGCTCTCGGAAGCCAACGAAAAAGAATCTGGAATTTCAAGCAGGACTGGAACAGTTGCTTCTTTCCTAAGCGGGGCTGGATTTTGGCTCCCCTTCCCCACATTACTGAAAAAGAAATGAGAGAAGAAGGGTGGGGAATATTTATCAAGTTTGCCTTACAAACTATCATGGAGAGAGAACAGGGAAAAGCAGTATGAACTTTTTTTATAACATAGGTATAAGTGGGGTTGTGGCAGATCCAGTGTCAACACATAGCATCCTTGGGCAAATGTCCACTATTTGGACGCCAGCCCTGGGCCCCTGTGCTGTGGGGCAAGGGGGTGGGCGTTAAAGGCTTGGAACCGTCCTTTAAATCCACCTCCGACCAACGCTCTCCTTGGAAAGATCATAGCTCAAGGGTAGACCACCTGCTTTGCATGCAGGTCCGACTCACCCATGAGGCAAGGTGAAGCAGCTGCCTCAGGTAGCAGAATGTGGGATTTGAACCCATGAGCCTAAGATTAAGAGTCTCTGCCAAGTGAACTATCCCAGACTTTTACCAGCCCAGGCAGACAGCTGCACAGTGCTGGATTTACGTAGCGCTGTGGGTTAAACCACACAGCCTGGGACTTGCCGATCAGAAGGTCGGCGGTTCAAATCCCTGCAACGGGGTGAGTTCCCATTGCTCGGTCCCTGCTCCTGCCAACCTAGTACGGTGGTGCCTCGCAAGACGAAATTAATCCGTTCCGCGAGTCTCTTCGTCTTGCGGTTTTTTCGTCTTGCGAAGCACGGCTATTAGCAGCTTAGTGGCTTAGCGGCTATTAACGGCTTAGCGGCTTTAAGAAAAAGGAAACAAACTTGCAAGAACTCGCAAGACGTTCGGTCTTGTGAAGCAAGCCCATAGGGAAATTCGTCTTGCGGAACGACTCAAAAAACGGAAAACTCTTTCGTCTTGAGCGTTTCTCGTCTTGCGAGGCATTCGTCTTGCGAGGTACCACTGTAGTTCGAAAGCACGTCAAAGTGCAAGTAGGTAAATAGGTACTGCTCCAGCAGGAAGGTAAACAGCATTTCCGTGCGCTGCTCTGGTTCACCAGAAGTGGCTTAGTCATGCTTGCCACATGACCCGGAAGCTGTATGTCGGCTCCCTCGGCCAATAAAGTGAGATTAGCGCTGCAACCCCAGAGTCAGCCACGACTGGACCTAATGGTCAGGGGTCCCTTTACCTTTAAACAAGCTATAGCTCTCTTGCCCCCCCCAAAAAAAAATGTAAAGGGAAAAAACCTGGATGTACATTTCCAAAATATAAGATAAAAAACAAATAATAAAAAAAATAAATAAATTTTATTTATACCCCGCCCTCCCCGGCTCAGGGCAGCTAACACCAGTAAAATTACAATAAAAACGTAATAGAGGGGGAAATCAATTTAAAATACAGGTTAAAATACAATTTAAAATGCAGCCTCATTTTAAAAGTAGCCCATAGTTCAAAACCATAAGGGGAGGGAAACATAAGGGTCAGACTGAGTCCAAACCAAAGGCCAGGCGGAACAGCTCCGTCTTGCAGGCCCTGCGGAAATAAAATAAAACCTGCATACAGCAGCAGTGTTTTGTGTTGTATAGGCTCCTAAGATGTAAGGCCTTCTAGCCTGCTCCCTAAACTATCACTGGTTTGCTCATTTCTATATATAGGGTGCCTACATTCAGCATGGAATGGTTGCATGACAATATGTGCAAACGGCTTTAAGGTAAAGGTAAAGGGACCCCTGACAATTAGGTCCAGTCGTGGCCGACTCTGGGTTTGTGGTGCTCATCTCGCTTTATTGGCTGAGGGAGCCAGTGTACAGCTTCCGGGTCATGTGGCCAGCATGGCGAACCAGAGCAGCGCACGGAAACGCCATTTACCTTCCCGCCAGAGCGGTACCTATTTATCTACTTGCACTTTGACGTGCTTTCAAACTGCTAGGTTGGCAGGAGCAGGGACCGAACAATGGGAGCTCACCCAGTCGCAGGGATTCGAACCGCCTTCTGATCAGTAAGTCCTAGGCTCTGTGGTTTAACCCACAGTGCCACCCGCATCCCATTTTAGATACCTATTAGGGTCCATAAATTACCATGTATTCAACACAAAAAACACCAACAATTTGTTGTTGACAAAGGACAGCTGGACATATAAAGGGCTCCATTACCTTCAGTAGCTTAGGGCCTTATCAATCCTAAATCCGGCCCTGCAGTGGCTCCAATGGTCTGGGGCGAAGGGGACTGGGGTCCTGCAACATATGAAGGAGCCACAGGTTAGCCACCCCTGGCTCTAAACTGACAGCAGCCACATCTCTGGATCACTGGCACATCTGAACTTAGCACACACTACTCACTAGACTGCTATAGCTTGGTACTGACTTCGGTCACAGCAGCATATTAAATAGCTATTGCCTCCACCAGGAGAGTTCAGTTGAATAGTAGTAGAGGGGAAACCACCACAAAGTGCAAATTCCTAAAAGAAATGACTTCATGTCAGCTAATCATCGGACTGTAAGGAAAGTCTGAGCAGAATGCTTGATTCATGATCCTGTGTCCCTGAAACAAAACAAACAAACACCTGTTTGTTATTGTCAGCCTGGATAGCTCAGCTGGCTAGAGCTTGGTGCTTATAATGCCAAGGCTGCAAGTTTGATCAGTCGCATATTCCTGGATTGCAGGGGGTTGGACTAGATGACCCTCGTGGTACCCTTCCAGCTCTACAATCCTATGATTCAAACAAATAATGTTGTATATCGAATGGATGCCCTTAGAAATGATGGTCTTTCTCCAAACTGACCCGGCTGTAATTCTGAAGGATTCCGTTTTAACCCCAGCTATGGTTTGGTTTTGTGGCTTTGGTTTGTTGTAAGTTTGTACTGCATTTATCACTCTATCCATTTAAAATGTTCAGGTTTCGGTAGAATTTAGCTGCTGAATTTGCAAAGCGATTGCACACGGCATAAGAGGTGTGTGAGCTGAAACGATCAACACAGAAAGAAAACAGGTGCCGGGATTGCTCTTTTGCTCTCGGTGTGTTTTGCTATATTATTTTTCAAGGGAACCCTTCCCCCCAATTAGTTGTAATTTATTCCTGAAACAAGGTAAGAAACAGCTCAGAAATATTCATAGCTGCAGCCGACTAACTCCCAGGCATCTATTTCTGATGACTCTTTGGAAAAGAAGGGATAAAGAATTCTGCCCCCTCCTTTTTGGAAAAGAGAGAATAAGAATTCCTCCACCCTTAGAAAAAGATTATATATCAAAACGCATTGGGGATAAAAGAACAAATTCAAGCAGCTGGGTTTTTTTTCTGTTTTGGATCCCCCCCCCCCCAGCTGCCTTTGATCTCCCCCTGTTGTGTGTATATTTTATCATTATTATTTTTTTTATATAAAAAAAGAGTCCAGGCTTATTTTTTAAAGTTATTTTAAAAACGCAAAAACACACAGCAATCCAAAACATTTTCTGACCAGATGTCAGGGAAATGAACTGATATGTGAATAACCTTTGCAGAATTAGCTGTAGAGAGAAATGGACCCCAGTTCAGAGTTAAGTGAGAACAGGGTTGAATACACACCATTCACGTAAAGCACATTTTCCTCTCCCTCCTGGGAACCACAGTTTACTCCTCACAGAACTACAATTCCCAGCACCCATAACAAACTACCAGAGACAAATAAGGCAGAGACAAACAAGGTCAGGTCCAGGGCACCAGACCAGATGAAGGTGAGCAGACATTCGACTCTGGCTACAGGTTCAAGGGCCTAGTTCACAGAGGTAGAACATGGTGCAAAGTACAGGTGAAAAACTCTAGACCTGTTTCCCAGAAGCCCCTTCCCCCTTCCTTCTGCAGGAGCTGAGGAAAAGCTAGAACCATCTAGGATAACTAGATCAGCCTCAGCTATGCCTTCTCTTCCAGGTACAGCAGACACACAACATCCAACCTTTTAAAGATGCTAATGGGAATGAAATGGGCAAATGCCATTCCATGATTTAATTCCCTTTTACATATGTTTAGTGTAATGTTTACTGTGGTGAATGTATTTTAAATTGAAATGTGACCCATTGTGAGGAACATCCATCCTGCATTCTTCTTTTTTTGTGTTTTAAAGCTTCCTTTCTTTGAAAAGGCTTCTCACACCTCTTAATAGTCTGGAGTATCTGAAAAACAGGTGAGCTTTTGCCCTGACACATCTGACACAATGAAGGACATTTCAGAGGTATGCATAGAAAATGCTATCAAGTAAGCAGGAGGCAAACTTTTTAAAGTCACTGGGCTATATGAAGTTCAAAGTACTGCATTTAAATCACAATCCAGCAACACCAGCAATGGTAAATGCAACTCAAGGGTCACAGAAGTCAACATGTCTCATCAGCAGGCCTCAGAGGAGCCCCCATCTCCACTATTTAGGGTGCTCCTGCTTCAGTTGTAGACAATACAAACAACATCTACTAACTAAACATCTTCAGCAGATAAGGAAAAATGACTCCAGTCTTCCTCTTGTCCGTAAAACGCCTGACCAAATAAAAATGCAATTTTTATTGTGGCCAGAATTTGAATGGTGGGGTTCTGATAATACTCACTTTGCAGCTTCCCATTCCTCAAACAAGAGGATGTTTACTTGACATATCTCTGTTAAGGTGTCCCTTGAGCATCGCCCTGGAGGATTATTAAGCTCTTGAGTATTATGCATTCCTTCCTAAAACAAAAGGGGGGGAAAGAAGCCCTCTGTCATTACTTCATTTTGATGTTATTGGCCATCAGGCTGTAGAAGGTAAAGGATTTAAATCTACACAAAAACCTTATTTTGGGGGGCGGGGCAGAGGAGGATTAGATGATCTCATAGTGGTAGCTCCAAAAGTGGCTGAATGAATTGATTTTCTAAATCACGGCTGGGATCCCTCCTGCCCCTTTGCCAGTCTTGGGCCGTGGGCCACACATAGGTGGATGGGCTCCTAGCCCAACAGGGAGAGGCACAGTTTGGGGGGCCCCCTGGGTCTGCACCCTTGGTGGGGGCCAACCTAGTCAACCCCCTAGATTCTGCTAGGTAGAAAATTGCTAGTCTCTGGAAAGAACCGGCGTACCCATCACCCTTAACAAAGTATAGTTCCCAGGTTTCTTTGGGAGAAGTCATGTGCTTTAAATGTACACAGTGCGGATGTGGCTGAAGTTTGCAAGAACCTCCAGACAGGAGCCTTCAGAGCCTTTGTTGTTGTTGTTTAGTTGTTTAGTCGTGTCCGACTCTTTGTGACCCCATGGACCAGAGCACGCCAAGCACTCCTGTCTTCAGCAGCTAAATTCTACCGAAACCTGAACATTTTAAATGGATAGAGTGATAGATGCAGTACAAACTTTGTTGTTGTTGTTGTTTAGTCGTTTAGTCGTGTCCGACTCTTCATGACCCCATAGACCAGAGCATGCCAGGCACTCCCGTCTTCCACTGTCTCCCAGTTTAGTCAAACTCAAGCTGGTAGCTTCGAGAACACTATCCAACCATCTTGTCCTCTGCCGTCCCCTTCTCCTTGTGCCCTCCATCTTTCCCAACATCAGGGTCTTTTCCAGGGAGTCTTCTCTTCTCAAGAGGTGGCCAAAGTATTGGAGCCTCAGCTTCAGGATCTGTCCTTCCAGTGAGCACTCAGGGCTGATTTCCTTAAGAATGGAGAGGTTTGATCTTCTTGCAGTCCATGGGACTCTCAAGAGTCTCCTCCAGCACCATAATTCAAAGGCATCAATTCTTCGGCGATCAGCCTTCTTTATGGTCCAGCTCTCACTTCCATACATCACTACTGGGAAAACCATAGCTTTAACTATACGGACATTTGTTGGCAAGGTGATGTCTCTGCTTTTTAAGATGCTGTCTAGGTTTGTCTTTGCTTTTCTCCCAAGAAGCAGGCATCTTTTAATTTCGTGGCTGCTGTCACCATCTGCAGTGATCATGGAGCCCAAGAAAGTAAAATCTCTCACTGCCTCCATTTCTTCCCCTTCTTTTTGCCAGGAGGTGATGGGCCCAGTGGCCATGATATTAGTTCTTTTTATGTTGAGCTTCAGACTATATTTTGCGCTCTCCTCTTTCACCCTCATTAAAAGGTTCTTTAATTCCTCCTTACTTTCTGCCATCGTTGTGTCATCTGCATATTTGAGGTTGTTGACCGCTACCTCTCTCTGTCAAATCTAGCATCTCCTCGCTGCAAGCTGTTAGCACAGGCCTATCATAGGATCCAGGACCAAAAAAAGAAAAGAAAAGAAAAAAACCTCTCCTTGCTGCTTCCTAAACAGTTGTCCAACCTTTAATTGAAGGGCTTGTAAATCAAGTGCAAGTTCCATGCTCGTGACATGGTAACAGAGAGATGGAGAGACATCTGGGAGAGACAGTCCTCTGTTATCAGAGAAATCTGGGCGCCTCCACAGGTAGCAGACCCGGCAAGACTAGGCAAGAAACTGTCACGGTCTGGCTGCTAATAAAGATGGTCAGGGAGGCAGCCTGCCCTCCTGCTCCTCCTATTCTTTCTACCACCTTTTGTGTCTGTGTCAAATGCAGGTTGCCTCTTGCTCAGGTGTGTCTCAGGAGCAACATGGAGGGAGGAGGGGAGATCGAAGAAGTGAAGGGGGAGAATCAGGCACAAATCAGCACAACCCTCCCACCCTATAAATTGTCTCTGGAACTATGTGTTGCCTGAGACCCCCTCAGATGATGTATGGGAAGCACCTGTCATCTGGGAAGCCCAAGGAACAATTGAATGAGACCTGCTCTCTTTTTTTAGACAGGTAAAACCAGTGTTAGAGCAGAAAGCCAAGGGGGGAAAGAGAGCGGAAGTCGGTTCTTCAGGCAAATCTGTCAATGGGTGGAAAGATGACTCTCTGAGGTCAAAAGTTCCAATCTGATCTGAGGTCAATGCCCATTGGGGGGGGGAAATAGTGACCTGACCCCACTGGACAATGAACCAGAAGGTGGTGGTGGGGTCAGGTCGCCTCCTTGTCCCACGGTTGGAGAGGGTTCTTCTAAGCCCCAGTTCCTTTTGCTTGTCCATCTCCAACTAGTTAGCAGGGATGGAGGAGCCAGATGGCACACCCAAGGGCACCGTGTCAGATCTGAGAGGCGTAGGAGATTCACAGTAAAGTGGAAAGAGCTGCTCTGGGGCATAGTCAACAGCAAAAAGCAGCATATGTTCAGAACCAATGGTTGGGTTGCCTTTTATAACACGTAGTAATGGTTGCAAGGCGTGCTTCCAGATGGGGTTTTATTGTGAGATAGTTGCTCCTAACATACGTGATTTACTTCTTTTTTTACACTGTTCACATGACATTGTGGGCATCAAGCTGCCAACCCCTTATGCCGTCCCCCTTCTATTTAATCCAGATTTATCCTGTTGCTGGTGGCCCATTTGTGATACCTGAATGACCCTTTGTTGTTCAATGGAAACCAGATCTGTGCACGTCAAATGAAGGCCACTCCTTTGCCTGCCTCCCACCTAATGTTGCATCTGGGTGTGGTTTGGAGAAAAATGGTCTAGAGCAGGCACCCCCAAACTCGGCCCTCCATATGTTATAGGACTACAACTCCCATGATCCCTAGCTAACAGGACTAGTGGTCAGGGATGATGGGAATTGTAGTCCCAAAACATCTGGAGGGCTGAGTTTGGGGGTGCCTGGTCTAGAGGGGCAAATTGGAACCCCTGCTGA